AAATAAATTTAATTACAAAACTATGTAACAAAAACCCATGGGACATGGATTAAGTTGTATTCAAAGAAAAATCCATAATCTTACACTTTCTTATTAATAAAAGAGAATTAAAATAAATTACACATTCTAGTTTTCTAACCAAATTATCTCCAACCAAAATGAACCTAAGGAAATGAAGGAAGACATACATAACAAAACAATGTAAACCAAGCACATAAATATGCAACAACAAGAGCAAGACAGAGTTTAGAACAGCCCCAGGCACTGAGGACATTAAAGGAATTATAAGAAAGAAATTTAAACGACTCTAGGCTAGTAAGTTCGGGAATCTAGATGACACAACTGATTTTCTGGGAAAATATAAGCTTCCAAAACTGATTCAAGAAAAAGCTGAAAATCAAATCAGTTATTATGGGGAAAATATGTGAAAGTTGCCAAGATTCCCTCTTCAAAACAGAACTAAGTTCAGGTATTTTTACTGGTGAATTCTAAAAAACCACAAGAAATAAAAATCTTTATCATATGGAAATGAGCACAGAGAAAGGAAAAGAAAAAAAAGAATCCAATGAAATTTAACAAAGCCAAGGACCAAAAAAAAGGCCTGATAAGGCTAGTACAAAATTACAAAATTTAAATTGCATATACGTATAGTTCTGGATACAAAATTATGCAATGAAATATTAACGAATAGCTTAGGACCACTCGGGATTCATTTAAGGAATGTAAAAATGATTCACAATTAGAAAATCTTTAATATAATTCAAAAGAGAAAAGTCATATGAACAATTAGATTTACACTAAAAACAAGTGATTTTAAAGTTCTGTATTAATGTATTTTTCAAGACACAAAAATAAATTCATTACAAATGCACTTTAAATACAGTACTGTTAACAAGCAGCGATCCCAGAAAACAGCCTCATGACAGAAAGAAGGCATGATGAAAACTGGTGCTGAGCAGGAAGGCATGAAGCCTGGGTTCTAGCAGATTTCCATCTCCAGCCAGACACACACTGAACTGCAGGTCATGTTCACCTGCCTTCCTGCCACCTCCACTGGGACATCTCTTAGGCTTCTCAAACTTAACATGTCCAACCAAACTCTAGATTCCTCACCTCAAACCTACTCCTCTCTTACTTTTCCCAATCTTAGTACATGGAAAACTCCCTTCCTCCCATTGCTTGGGCCCAAATTTTGGTCTTCTCTCACACCCCACATCCAATTCATCGGCAGATACAGCTGGCTCTGCCTTGAAATGGAACCAAATTCTCCACTTCACCCCAGCTCCACTGCCACCACCTTTGTCCAAGCCACTGTCATCTTCTGCAGTCTCCTAGGGAGCTCACTGCTTCCACCCTTGCCTCTCCATAGGCTATATTCCCCAAAGTGTCCAGAACAGTCTCTCCTTTTTCTTTTTAAAGTGTAAGTCAGATCATGTTCATCCTTTGCTCAAAACCCTCCATGGGCTTCCTTCTCATTCATAATAAAATCCCTGGTCCCATCACGGCCAACCCTTTGGTACCCTTTCTTCTCCTCCCCCACTTTTTAAAAAACTTCATCCCCTACCTACCCTCTCCACTCTTACTAAGTCCACTCTAGGCACGTTACACCCTCGGCACCACGCCTGTGGATAACAAAGTCCACTCCTCACAGCCTTGGTGCTTGTGGGTCACTCTGTGTGGAATGCTCTCCTACCAGATCCCTCTTTGGCTCACTCCTCTCTTTTCTGAGGCCTTGTCTCAATTATCGCCCTGCCAGAGAGGCTTCTCTGGCTTCACGTCTGCAAAAGGCACCCTCAGTTACTTAGTCCCCTTACCCTGCTTCCCTTTTGCTCCTCAGCCCTTTCACCATCTGGCATGTGCTTGTCCCCTCCGATGAAAACATAAGCCCTGTTAGAGCAGAAATCATGTAGGTTTCTGTTTACTGCTACATCTTTAATGTCTAGAATGTATTTAGCATAAGATAGGGGATCAGTTAGCATTTGTTGAATAAATGGTTTTTATTCTGCTATAATTAGTTGTGAGCCCTTTTGATTTACAGTTTCTTCATCTGCAAAATGAGGGAGATAAAATGATATTTTTACCAAATTATAAAATTTTTGTGACTTAAAAATAAGAGTTCTATTGCTCATTATAAAAATTCGGAGACATGAAACTCCTTTAGAAGACAAAATTATTTGGGCTTTGCTACTTACTCTAAGGGTAACAGCTGCTGCCTTGATGATGAAATCGTTTACTGATACTTTAATGTCATCTGAAAGAAAAATTAGTACAGTAAAATTAGTATTCATAATATAACTTTAACCCTGATCATTTTGATTTCAAACTTGTAAATTATGGAATACAATGACAAACAACGACGAAAAATATTACAGGTTTTTGTTTGCTTTATCAATAAGGTTCCCCTGATTAGAAAACTTGCATTATATGAGGTCCTGGATAAATAACATTAACCATGAATAAGTAAGTTTATTTCTAGGCCTTGATTACAATTTTAAAAAACTGCTCAGATATCACACATGAGAACTTGAAGGATATACTACAAGCGTAATTAGGAAAAAAAAAAACCAACTCTTATGTCTCTACAAAGACGAATGGTCTCTGTGGTGTGTGAAGCCAGGAAGTTTACAAGATGATTCATTTTTTCTCCTCCTTTTCAGATGTCCTTATTCTCTATATGCTTTATAATGTATTGATTATATCAGAACAGTGGTACATGTAGGTACTTTATATAAACAATTATACACATATACAAATGGAGGAATGTTCAAAAATTTTTTTGCTAATGGGGTGTATATGGAAAAAATTTAAGACCACTGCATTAAACAAGAACTGCTTTTTAACTTAACGAAACAGGATATAACAAATGCCAAAGATGAAGCAATGCTGGCATAGGTCCTAGTGCAAGAAATAAAATGAAGTTCTCTGTCTAGTTCATGGTGAATGCATTTGAATTAATTTCTTTCCTGTATACATAATAATTTTAGGATAAAGCTGGGATCCCCACACTTCCAACAGAGCTGATCATAACTAAAGTATTTGATTTATACCTTTGCTTCTGCCCATGGGTATGAAAGTGTTGGAAAATGTAAACACACCGGATTCTTTCTTGTAAAATCTTCTAGAAAAAGACTTTAAGATCAAGATGTAGTCCATGGTATGTGGCAAGAAACACATCTTATTACTACAGTATTATGGAATTTTACGTGAACAGCAGCTCATTCCAAAGGCATGCTGGAGACTTCCTAAATACTGTCACACTGTCATGGTAACTGTCAGCTGCTTAGTATCATGGCTCTTCTAATTTCGATTTCCAGATACACATAAACATTTTTGTTTGTTTGATTAAAATCCCTTTAGGAGTAGAAATATAAATGAATTTCGAGAACTTAGAGACTTTTAATGATAACCATATATAAAAGATCTGGTCTGCACAAATTCACATATGTGCACATAGTATTTTAGGAACTCATTGATGGCTCCCTCAGCCTCCTTCTCACTGTATCTATCACACTATCCACAGGTATCCACAGAAGATTTCCAAAACCACCCACCAGCTGATGACCCTCAAACCTACCACCTAAGTCCACAGTCCTCACGTAAAATTGTCTTCATCTACGCTAACATTCAGGAGCATTCCTGTGTTGATTAAAACTTTCTCTTCCTGGCTCCTGTGTCATTATACTCTCCTCGTTTTCTTCCACTCTGCCCACTCGCTCATTTTCAGTCCCTTCCTCTCAATGTTGGCATCTCCCTAGTCAGGAACTTTCAGTCTCAAGGTTTTGATACTATTTATAATGACTCCTCCTCCACATTCTACCTCTAATCCTGATGTACTGGAGCTTCAGACTTGTACATGTAATTTCTCATATGACATTTCTACTTACATGGCTAATAGACACCTTCAACTCTAACACGTGTAAAAGAGTTTTCAAATTCCTTTACTTTTAACTCCTTATTATGAAAAATTTCAAACATACTGAAACATTGATGACATTTATTGAGTAGGAGACAGTTTATAAGGGAATATCAGACATTTTCACTTGCATGTTATCATGTTACAAAAGCAAAGTGGGGAATGAAGATACATAATGTGGACTCTGAAGATTCATGAGAAAATTCCTAATTACAAAAACAAAAAACCTATACCATGCAAAGATACTAAACTAATCTAAATCTCCACTGAAATATTACTGATTCCTGCCTCATGAGTAAGAAAACTGCGAAATCTTTCCCACATTAAATTTCTATATCATGACTAAGCACGTATGATCTGAGAACTATAAGGGGTGCTTCCCAAGGTTAATTTTGTAGAAATTTATCACTTTATTTGAAATAGTCTTCTATTTGGTTCCTTGGCTTCTAAAAGTTGTCAGGGCCAGGCACAGTCGCTCACGCCTATAATACCAGCACTTTAGGAGGCCAAGGTGGGAGGATTGCTCGAGGCCAGGAGTTTGAGGCCAGCCTGTGCAATACAGCAAGACCCTGTCTCTAAAAAAAATTTTTAAAAAAATTAGCCAGGCATGGCGGCACATGCCTGTAGTCCCAGCTACTTGGGAGGCTGGGCCAGGAGGATCATGTAAGCCCAGGAGTTCAAGGTCGTAGTGAACTATGATAATGCCACTGCACTCCAGCCTGGGTGACAGAGCAAGATCCTATCTCAAAAAAAAAAAAAAAAAAGGAGTTGTCAAGTTGTCTTTATATGAAATCTTGAAAGTCTGTATGTAAACTGATTTATCAGTCCTGCTTTCACTAAGAATGCAGAAAGCTACAGAATAAAGTTGGTCCCACTCTAACAAGGTGGGAAAAAAAGCAGGGTAAACTACAAAATCATAACTTTTCTTGAGCCTATTAGGGAGTTCAGGTTACAAAGCAAACAGGTGAACTGAATGCCAAAGAGTGATAATCCGCTCTGAGAATAGACAAACACACAAAGTAATCACCCACTGTCAGACTATGGGAGTGAAGAGGACAGAGTATGAGACAATGTGCATAAACTGACAGGGACTAGCAGCAGAGAAATGCAAACTATACAAAGCATTCAAATGGATATCCAGGGAGAAAAAACCATGCTAGCAAAGACAAAATACATTTTTGTCAAGCTTCACAGACAAAGCAGAGAAAAGAAATCAGTATAGTTCAAGTTAGGTCAACAAAAATTATCCAAACTGAAACACAAAGAGAAAAAGGAATGAACGAGAGAAAAAGAATAGAGCATCTAAGAGTTTTGGACAATTCAATTAATCTAACTCCAACTTACAGTTGGAGTCCCAAGGAGAAAACACATGAAACAGGAGATAGGATTAAAAATACCAGCTGAGAATTTTTCACAATTAAAGAAAGACAACAAACCACAAATCTAAGAAGCTGAGAAAAACCCAAACAGGATAAATACAACAGGAAAAAAAAAAAATGAGGGCATATAATAGTCAAATTGCTAATGGAGGAAACCTTGAAGGCAACCAGAGGGATAAAGAATAACACACACACGGGAACAAATATTAAAAATGGTAGCAGGTATTTTTTAAGCCAGCCACTATTTTTTAACAGAATAGTATCTTTATTTAAAGTACTGAAATAAAAATCTGGTTAACTCAAAATTCTATACCCAGCAAAAATATCTTCCAAAAATGAAGAAGACACACCCATTAGGATGACATAAATTAAAAAAAAATAGAAAATAACAAGTGTTAGCAAAAACATGGAGAAATAAGAACTGTTGTACAACTGCTGATGGGAATGAAAAATGATGTAGTTACCACGAAAAACAATATGGCACCTCTACAAAAATTAAAAGTAGAATTATCATATGATCTAGCAATTCTACTTCTGGGGACAGAGTCAAAAGATTTGAAAACACAGACACAAAGAGATATTTGTACATCCACGTTCATACCAGCATTATTCACAATAGCCAAAAGGTGGAACCTAATGCTGCAGTCCCCAACACCCAGGCCAGTACCAGGCCGTGGTCTGTGGGAACCAGGCCACACAGCAGGAGGTGAGCAGCAGGCAAGCAAAGCTTCATCTGTATTAACAGCTGCTCCCCATCACTCCCGTAACTGCCTGAGCTCCACCTCCTGTCAGATCAGTGGCAGCATTAGATTTTCATATGAGTGTGAACCCTACTGCAAACTGCATTAAAAGACAAGCGTTTGGAGTTTTTTGAAAAGAAAAAAACGTGAACACGAAGAACAGAAGCAATTATAGAAGGCCACCACTTCATCAAATGTGTCTGCACCGACAGCATCATTCTTAGTAGCTAACCACACTGCTAAAGCTAAGAAGCCCGTTAATACTGGTGAAGAGCTGATCCTGCCTCCTGCTAAGGACATTTGCCATGAACTTTTAGGAGGCCCTGCCGCAGTTCAAAAAGTGGACGTGTTCCCCTTTTGGCTAGCACCATTACTAGATGAATTAATGAAACAGCAGAGGATACTGAGGCATAATTGTCAGAAAGGATTAATGAGTCACCGTGGTATGCAATCCAGGCTGAGAAGTCTACCAATGTTGACAACAAGGCAACAAGGGTTGTTTTTGCATGATACATTTTTCAGGAGGATGTGCATTAAGATATGTTATGTGCACTTTTATTGTCGATCAACACCACAGCTGTAGAACTATTCAAGTCTTTGAATGATTGCATTTGAGGAAAACTGAATTGGTCATTTTGTGTCGGTATATGCATGGATGGAGCAGCTGCCATGACTGGATGACTTTCTGGTTTCACTACTCGGGTCAAGGAGGTCACTTCTCAATGTGAGTCTATGCACTGTGTCACCCATAGAGAAATGCTGGATAGCCAAAAAATGTCACCTGAACTAAACAACGTTTTGCAGGATGTGATTAAAATTATCAACCACATTAAAGTATATACCCTTAACTCACATCTGTTCGCGTAGCTCTGTGAGGAGATGGACGCAGAGCACACACGTCTTCTCCTACACACAGCAGTGAGATGGCTTCCTAACGGTAGATCACTGGCCAGAGTTTCTGAGTTACGACAGCCACTCCAGAGATTTCTTTTAGGAAAACGGTCACCACTGGCAGCACATTTCAGTGACACAGAATGGGTCATAAAACTTGCTTACTTGTGTGATAATCAACCTGCTCAACAAACTCAATGTGTCACTTCAGGGGAGAATGACTGTGGTGTTCAAGTCGGCAGATAAAGTGTCTGCATTCAAAGACAAACTGGAATTATGGGGGTGATGAGTGAACATTGTGATTTTCGACATGTTACAAACATTAGCAGAAATTTTGAAAGACACTGAGCCAGGGCTTTCTTTCTCCCAGCTGGTGCATAATCACCTATCTCAGCTTTAAGAAGAGTTTGAGCATTACTTCCCAACCACAAAGGACCCCCAAACTGGGAAGGAATGGATCTGCAATCCATTTGTGAATAAGCCATTTGTGAATCGACTTTGTGCTAGAAGATGATCAACTGCTTGAGATCACAAATGACGGTGGCCTTAAAAGTACCTTTGAGACAACTTCAAATCTCCATACATCTGGATTAAAGACAAGGCAGAACATCCTGAGACTGCCACAAAAGCACTGTAAAGCCTGCTTCCATTTCCAACATCCTGTTTTTGTGAAGCAGGGTTTTCTGCAGTGACAACAACCAAAACAAGATTGTGGAGCAGACTAGACATAAGCAACACACTTCAGGTGTTACTGTCTCCCATCACCCCCAGATGGGACCATCTAGTTGCAAGAAAACAAGCTTAGGGCTCCCACTGATTCTGCATTAAGGTAAGTTGTATAATTATTTCATTATATATTACAATGTAGTAATAATAGAAATAAAGTGCACAATAAATGTAATACACTTGAATCATCCCAAAACTATGCCCCACAACATCCACCCCCTGGTCCGTGGAAAAATTGTCTTCCATGAAACCAGCCCCTGGTGCCAAAAAAGTCTGGAGACCACTGACCTAATGGATTCATCCACTGACAGATGAATGAACAAAATATGGCATATACATCTAACAGAATATTTTTCAGTCTTAAAAAGGAAGGAAATTCTGACACATGCTACAACATGGATGAGCCTTGAAGACATAATGCCAAGTGAAATTAAACAGACACAAAAGGACAAGTACTGTTAATCTCACTCACATGAGGTACTTAGAGAAAACAAGTTTATAGGGACAGAAAGTAGAATGGTGATTGTCAGGGGTGGGGGGAGAGAGGAATGAGAAGTTATCGTTAATGGGTACAGATTTAAGTTTTACAAGATGAAAAAAGTTCTATGGATGAATGGTGGTAATGGTTGCACAACAATGTGAATGTACTTAATGCTAATTAATTACACACTTAAAAATGGTTAAAATGGTAAAATTTATGTTATATATTCAACCACAATTACAAAGTTTTTTAAAAAAGGAAAAAAAAAGAAGAGCTAATAAACTTTTTCAGACAAAAGTGGCAAAAATTTATTGACAGCCAACCTGCTCTACAATTAATAAAACCAAATGCTGGTTCTTTAAAAGATCAATAAATTGATAAACCTTCAGTAAGACTGATCTAGAAAGAGAAGACACAAATTACTAATATCGAAAATAGGGACATCATTTCAGGTTATATAGATAGATGGTAGAAGTGTAATAAGGTAATATTACAAAATTGAAATAAAAAGCTATACAATGTGAATTTTATAAATAAAAGATTTCATGAAAATTAAGTTAGCATGTGCATAATATTAAGTAAATTAAACTTCACTAACCTTTGACAAGATCTTGCCTAGCTTTTAAAACAGCTCCAACGTCACAGTCGGCAGTAGCATATGCATGAGGTACAGTACTTTTAGATTCAGTTAACCTCTTGGCAATAACTCTTCGAATATTGCTAGCAGGGATTTCAGTGAATGT